GTGTTTGGATGACTTGATAACTACTATCGGTGGGCGTACGCTTGGTGGAGGAGCAGATACAGTCACATGGGACCTGACTGCTTCTGGCAAATTCTTCGTTAAGTCCTTATACGATAAGCTCACCGCGGGGACGGCACTGGACATAGCTAGTGGGCTGTGGAAAGCAGGCCTCCCCCTCATGATAACAATCTTTCTCTAGCAAATATTCCGAAACCAACTTCCTACCTCGGATAACATGGCCAAACGCAACGGCCCATCAAATGGGATGTGTGTCGTGTGCAGGCTCGGGGAGAACGCCAACCATGTTTTCTTCCGTTGCCATCAAGCACATTTCGAGTGGAGTGTGGTTAGAGAAGCTTTCAGGCAAAACTAGAATCCCGCGTCCAGGGCAGATTTGCTAGCTTTGCTTCGGCTCCAGAAAGGGGCCTTCGCGAGGATCGTGTGGCGTAGCGTCCGAAACAAAATTACCATTGGGAAGAAGTTTCCTTCTTACCTAGCTGATGTCATTTTTAAATGACACCTTTTTCTATAGACTTGAGCCCCATTGGGGAAACAACCCATGCAGGGGGCGATGGAGCGGATCAGAAGCATTCAGTTTACATCTCGACACATGGTGATGCAGACCTGATCCTTTGTTGGAGCATGTTAGAAGTTTGGCCGCGGGGTAGGCAGCTACTTTATCTACTTTGGTGTTATATTTATGGTGCTTTGGGCCATGAGAGTTGTGTTATTTGGGACGCTGCCTTGGTTGGCTTTATTAATTTAAATCCGGATGCTTCTTTCCTCTTTGTTAAAAAAAATTGACAAATGAATTTAGCGTATGATGAGTTGACAACAAGTGGTCACGTCACGTTTTTGCCTAAAAAAATGGTCACGTGAAAAATGTGTGTGTGTGACAGAGAGAGAGAAAGCAACAAGAGGGTAGCGTATGGAGGAGTAGTGCGTTGCGGGCATACGTACGGACTACGGAGAAGGGAGGGTACGTCAACGAGAAAACAAGGAATAACCGAGGTTTATGGCCGTGTTAGCCGGGTCGCTGCCACTTTGCCGGCAGCGCGCGCCGGTCCGTCCGGATATGTTTATCAACTCTCTCCACGCCCTATATATATCCCCAAATACTAGTTCCCTTCTCCACCATCTCTTCCAACTACGTGCTGATCATTCCCTCACGTTCATTCAGTTGCATCAAACTTCCTTTTATTTTCCTCTCGGTTTTGTAGTATCACATGTTGATCATCTCGAAAGGATTAACCTAATCTCCTAGTGACAATTGTCGCAACTATCCTTGTGTTGCCGCGTCCGGCAAAGCAAGAAATATGGGGTTAAACGGCCGCGACGAGCACCACTCACCGTCCTCGGCCAAGTCCCCCCGCGGCGGCGGCGGAGGCGAGCACAACTCCCCGCCAATCAGCTGCCCACGTGGCGGCGCCGTGTCGTCCTTCCTGCTTGCGGCCGCGTTGCTCACTTTCTCCTTGTCCATCGGCATCACGGCCACGCTCGCCGTCACGTTCTCCACGTCGTTGTCGTTGTGCCCCATGCAGGCCTTGTTCTTCCCGGCCACCAGCGCTAGGTTCGTCCAGCCGGAGTCGGACGTCCGGCCCCCGGGCGCTGACGTGCCGCGGCTTGCCTACCTCATCTCTGGGTCCAGAGGTGACCTGGACCGGCTGTGGCGGGTGCTGCACGCGCTCTACCACCCGCGAAACCTGTACGTGGTGCACCTGGACCTGAAATCCCCGGTGGAGGACCGACTGGAGCTGGCGACGCGGGTGGGAAACAACACTGTTTTCCAGCGCATCGGCAACGTCGAGGTGATCCGGCGCGCCAACATGGTGACTTACCGCGGGCCGACGATGGTCGCCCACACCCTGCATGCCTGCGCCGTGCTCCTCCGCCGCAGCCGCGACTGGGACTGGTTCATCAACCTCTCTGCCTCAGACTACCCGCTCATGACCCAGGACGGTACGGTACTGCGCACCGCGCTTATTATTCCTGGTTCTTTAACTTTTCAGCTCAAATAACAGAATTAATGGTATGTGTGTGTATGTATACACATCACAGATATCCTCCATGTATTCTCCACGTTGCCGAGGAACGTCAGCTTCATGGAGCATACCAGCAACCTGGGCCAGAAGGCGTGAGTATTGTTTACCACTCTCTCCGTCCTATAATATACGAGTGTTTTTTACGCTAGCTTATAAGTTTCTTATTTGTCGATCGACCAGCTGGTCGGTTGACGATGACGGCTACTGATTAGACGGTCGCTGCAGGGAGGGCCGGGCGAAGCCTCTGATCGTGGACCCGGGGCTGTACATGTCGGCTAAGAAGGAAGTCTTCAACGTGTGGCCAGCGCGGCAGCTGCCGACGGCGTTCAAGCTGTACACGGGGTCGGCGTGGGTGGTGCTGTCGCGGGACTTCGTCGAATACGTGGTGTGGGGGTGGGATAACCTGCCGCGGACGCTTCTCATGTACTACGCCAACTTCGTCTCCTCCCCGGAGGGCTACTTCCAGACGGTGCTCTGCAACGCGCCCAGCTTCGTGCGCACCGTCGCCAACCACGACCTGCACCACATCCAGTGGGACGTCCCGGCGAGGCAGCACCCGCGGGCGCTCGGGCTCCCCGACAGGGACGGCATGGTGGGCAGCGGCACGCCCTTCGCACGCAAGTTCGAGCGCGACGACCCTGTGCTTGATGTCATAGACGCCGACCTTCTGCTCGGCCGTGGGAGGAACGGCACGGCGGCCGGGATGTTTGTGCCCGGCGGCTGGTGCGGCCAACACCGGGACTGCGGTGCCGCCCGCGCCAATGTCGACGACTGGGTGCTCAGCCCTGGGCCCGGTGCCGAGAGGCTGCGGAGGCTCATGGACAGGATCGTCAGGTCCCAGGCCTTCGACGGCAGCCAGTGCAAATAGCAACGACATGGTTATATTACAAGAGCCAGGTTATTTCGTCCACAGGGGGAGTTACGTTTCTTCTTCTATACAGTCACAGCCGCGGCCTCGTCCCAACTACCGCGAGCAAAGACCTTGAAGCTGGCAACACATGTACTACCTTTCTAATGCAGTTGATTTACTTTTTAATATTATAGCACTTCTAATTGGAAGAATATCTTGGCAATTACAATATTAGTAATCTGGCAATTGAGAAACAGTAAAACTGAGCCGGCTAGGGCCTTCCGCAGTGATTTGACACTCTGAACCGTCCGATTTGTGGACTCACCGCTCCAGATCTGCTCGCTAAACATTCTTTTTTTTTTTGAGAATTAAGCCAGCTTTATTAATCTGCTCGCTAAACATTCGCAATCGCTCCGTCATCCCACTTCATGTGTCTGGGCCCATTTTTGCGCCAGACTGCTCGTTATGGGCTGACCAAACGTCTCTTGGGCTGCTGCTCCGACAACCGACTTGCACGCTCTGTGATTAAATAGGCCGACATGCTGTGAACCGAATGGCCCAGACCTCCAACTTGCGTGCACACTGGCCGACACACTTGGCTAGGACAACCCGGCGATCTTTTTTTTGTACCTATGAACATTATGATTCAGTAATAAAGCTTTGTGAGATTCTCAAAAAAAAAAAACCCATTCACCGTTTCCGTCCCTCGCCACTCGACGCCGTCAGCGTGCCACGAAGAGAAGATGGATGGGTCGACGTGGTGCCTCCCCCATTCCTAAACTTCTCCATTGATCGCCTCCTACCACTCCTCCAATATCCTGCTTTCCGCAACCCGTGAGATCCTCAGCGATCGCGATGAATCAATGACCTGCTTCGTTGGGACGTTGGATTGATAGCGGGATCTACAAGATGGCGACGACAATGACAGTCCACGTCAACAAGGTAAATTCTAACCCAAGGTGCAGAACGTCCCCGTCAAATTGGCAAAGCAACAGTTCATACGAGTATAAATTTATGATCTGATCCCCTTCCGCTAAAATCCCCTATGGCGAAGTTGGTCAGAGCAGTCTCATCCGTTCGTCGTTTGTGAATAAAATCAGATGTTATCTGAGGTTTCTATTTCTATTTTTACAATTGATCTGATGTTCAGCAATTTCCTTGCTTTCTTCTTGTTCTGCTGATATGGATTCCCCAAACTTTTTTATTTGGTGCACAACATGTGCTTCAATGCTTGTGTCAATGGCTGAGGGGCAGCACACACCGTTATATGATCTCTCTAACATTTAAGATCCTTAGTAACTAACGACGAGCTACGTTGCGTTTCAGGATCCGGCAGAACACAAGTTGTATATCAATAACTAAATGCATGTTCCAAGTACTGGATGGAGCATCCAACGACTGGAGCTGATCAAAATAAAAGGTATAGTGGCATGATTAACCCTTATGTTTGGAGCATCACATAAAGTTTTCTACATTTCTAGCGTTCATAACGATTCCCTTGGCACAAGAACCAAATCTCAAAACAATTCATCGCTTACACATAATATATCCAGATGAATAGAAGGAACAATACAATTAATCATTTACGTGTGATTGTATTTTCATTTTATAAATAATATACTGACATCTTCCTCTTCACTGTGTTAGACATGTTGATATTTGATGTCGTTGGATATACCAAACATTTTGGATTCTTCAATGTTACATTGATTAGTAAAAATATCTCAAATATTTATACCACCTGAGTTTTTCTAACTATTTACATCTCCCTTTGGTAAGATGGACGAGCGCAGCAACGTGCGCCTTTATGATCTAGTTAGTTAAATAAGATACATCAGGGCGACTACATTTCAATAGTCTGGCAACCAAGTACAGCCGTAGATATGGTGTTCAAATGCTGCTTGGATTAGTTCGTCTCCAACTTTTGAGGGTGCTGCTTTTTGCACAAATTTATACTGGTCCTTAGGAGCTGTTGAAGTGTACGGGTTTGCTTGAGTCTGATTCGGGGGAGGTATCTACCGCTGTAATTTATGGGGTGGCAAATGGGAAACATCCACCCAGAGAAATAATGCAGAACATTCAGTTCTGAATCAATCTAAATAGTGTTCTCAAATCTGTGAGAGGACAGAGCATCCGATCACCTACGTTTTTAGTTTCATAAATATGCCTCAACTCATTACCATGAACATTGAGTCTAGAAAAATGGGTTAGTTTCCATATATACTTCCCGAATAATAATATGAGCATGATACTATAACGACCTGTCCTATGATGAGATGACTCCTGAAACCAAACACCCTCTTTTGGCTTTTGGCACATGGCAAACTTCACTCCTAGCAAGCAAGGGGATGGCACAAAATGCGTTGCAGTGAAACATTTCATGGGTTGCCTGGTTTTCCTATATTGTCACGCCCAATATGCGACCCTATCCAAAAAAAACTCGAAGGTCCCGCCAAGGATAGACCCGCATATTGAAACGCTTTTGCAAGGTGAATATCATTACATCAACATTACATAATAGATGGGGATACATACAAGAGGCATACAATGCCACACGAATACAACATCACAATACATCAGAGCATCATCCGACTACGGATAACAACATAAACAGAAACTCAAACGACATCCACCCTGCTAGCCCAGGCTGCCGACCTGGAACCTATCCCCTGATCGAAGAAGCAGAAGAAGAACTCAACGCAAGCAAGCATCGCTCTCGCGTCATGATCATCGCATAACCTGTACCTATAACTGTTGTTGTAGTAATCTGTGAGCCACGAGGACTCAGCAATCCCATTACCATGGGTATCAAGACTAGCAAAGCTTAATAGGAAAGTAAGGGGTAAAGTAGTGAGGCTGCAGCAGCGACTAAGCATATATGGTGGCTAACATACGCAAATAAGAGCGAGAAAAGAGCAAGCAGAACGGCCGTGAAGCTAGCAATGATCAAGAAGTGATCCTGAACTCCTACTTACGTCAAACATAACCCAGAAACCGTGTTCACTTCCCGGACTCCGCCGAGAAGAGACCATCACGGCTACACACGCGGTTGATGCATTTTAATTCGGATCTGGTGTCAAGTTGTCTACAACCGGACATTAACAAATTCCCATCTGCCTATAACCGCAGGCACGGCTTTTGAAAGATTATACCTTGCAGGGGTGTCCCAACTTAGCCCATGACAAGCTCTCGCGATCAACGAAGGAATAGACCTTCTCCCAGGAAGACCCGATCAGACTCGGAATCCCGGTTTACAAGACATTTCGACAATGGTAAAACAAGACCAGCAAAGCCGCCGGGATGTGCCGACAAATCCCGATAGGAGCTGCACATATCTCGTTCTCAGGGCACACCGGATTGTCCAAACTTCCGGTAGGCCAGCCCAGAGTTGCCCCTGGTGGCCACCGGCGGCTGACAGGTTGGACCAACACTCACGACGAGCACTGGCCCGGGGGGGGATAAAATAAAGATGACCCTCGAGAGCGCGACCCTCAAGGGAAAAAAGGGCTAGGTGAGGCAAATGGTAAAACCAAGGTTGGGCCTTGCTGGAGGAGTTTTATTCAAAGCGAACTGTCAAGGGGGTCCCATAAATCACCCGACCGCGTAAAGAACGCAAAATCCGGGAACATAACACCGGTATGACAGAAACTAGGGCGGCAAGAGTGGAACAAAACACTAGGCAAAAGGCCGAGTCTTCCACCCTTTACCAAGTATATAGATGCATTAATAATATAAGAGATATTGTGATGTCCCAACCAAAATCCTGTCCACCATGGAGAAATCTTCAACTACATCTGCAACTAGCAACGCTATAAGAGGGGCCGAGCAAAAGCGGTAACATAGCTAAACAATGGTTTGCATAGGAAAGGTGTCAAAGGTTAGAGGTTCATGGCAATATGGGAGGCTTGATAAACAGGTGATAGGTAGCGCAGCAAAGCGATAGAACGAAGAAACTAGCATAGCAATGATAGTAGTGAGATCCAGGGTAGCGGTCATCTTGCCTGAAATTCCGCAAGGAAGAAGAACGAGTCCATGAAGAAGACGAACGGATGAAGCCGAACCAAGCATAGACGAACGAATCCTCACGATCGCAACGAAACAGGAATTATCGAAAAGAAGCACACAACATAGTAAACACACCACACATAGACAAGACATGATGCACAACAAGCATGATGCATGACAAAGCTACATGAAGCTACTCATGGTAGGAGGTGATGCAAACAAGAGCAACACATCAAAGCAAGTTTAAATGAGGCCGGGAACAACATATAACAATTCCGGTAAGTCCTCATATGCATATTTCGAAATTGGTCCAGATATAAATAAACCTTATGTTCAAATTGTTAAACAGCAAGTTAAGATGCACAAAGACGATCTACACGAGATTCTAGTCAAGTTACATATAAAGTTCATTTAGTTCGGAGCTACGGCCTAGAAGATATGAGCAAGACAAGATAAACATGGCATTGATGCAAAATGCACTCAAACATCAAGCAAACACCTCAAAACAAGGATGCAACATGATAATATGAAACTACATGCAATTCTAAGCAAGTTTCATATAGAGCATACTCAAAACGGAGCAACGGTTCAACACACACACATGGAACAAGTTTAAAGGACAAGCTGTCCAAAACAGCAACTAGGCATATAGCAAGCATCAAAACAACAGGCTACAGCATCTCAACATGAAAAAAAAGACATGGGCATGATGTACAGGTAAAGCATAACAAAACATGAACACTGAGCTATCTCCAGAAACTACTAGAACATGCTCAAACACACATGATAAGATTGCAAGTTATAACAATTCAGACTTTGCAGAAAATAACATCACAATGCAATGTTTAGAGCTATCAAACAACATGTTACAGGAACTTATAATGGCAAACAAAGGCATGGCGTGAATCTACTCAAAGCATAGATCAAAAGTCACTTACTGACCATAAGCCAAAAAGGATCAGAAAATATGATGTCACCCACGTAAACATAGCAAGTTATTATATAGATTCAAG